GCCAATGAGGTGGAAGGAGACGAGCTTTTTCCTTTCCTTTTCAGCAAGGACGCCGTACTGAAGGCAATTTGCAGTGGTGGGTGCACACTTTGTGAGCATACTTCCGGAAGGAATCTGGATGCTCGATTGGCCGTGGCCATTATCAGATATCAACAAGCGTGGATTGGTTTTAGAAACTATATAAATTAGGTGGTTAGGCTAATACTCTAATCCAAAAATGTAACCTGAGCATTGGCTGGACCCATGTGCCAAAATCAAGCCGAAGAAACACGATAGCTATGTTCAGTCCAAGGGAGCACTGAGAGAGAGGGCCATAAATTACGGTTGATCCAGCGGTCGTTATGGACAACCAGTGTAAGGTAGATGCCTTTGGCTGCTATTTTGACAGTGTGCACCGAAAAGATCATGGTATGCCAAGAATTCTGGAGCTATAGTCCTCACAGCCAGAAATTGAGGAGATTCAGCCATCGGGAGAGATAGTGCGCCAGCATTATCAGGGTCTAGACGTCCATAAGGTGGCTGGACCGGACGAGATTCATCCAGCTATCGTCAAGCCCATAACAGACATCCTCGCAGGACCGGTGTATAAGTTATCCAAAGCTTCACTAGATCAGGGCATTCTACCGAGGGACTGGAAAGTAACAGCAGTGGTGGCTATACATAAGGGGAGCACGAGCAGAGTTAGGTAACTATAGGTCAGTCAGTCTAAATAGTAGTTTGTGTAAGGTGCTAGAAAACATTATTCACACCCATGTATGCCAGCACCTAACGCAGCATACTGTGTCCAACTCAGCATGGGTTTCTCAATAGTAGCTCGTGTTTGACTAATCTATTGTGCTTCTTGCATGAAGTTACGAGGAGATTAGACGAGGGGCACAGCGCAGATGTATGTTATCTTGACTTTAGCAAGCCGTTTGATGCGGTCAACCAACGCCTGCTATTAATCAAAATAGATGCGTTTGGTATAAGGGGACAAATCCACTAATGCCTGAGGGACCTGACCACCGACAGGATCTTCTACATCAAAGCGGGTGATAATTGCTCCCGTAAAGTACACATCATAACTGATTTACCCCGGGCTCCGTGCTCGGTCCATTGTTGTCCAAACAATTCGTACATGACCTTGCTATGCTGTTGAAATCGCTAACCTTTATCTCCACCGACGATGTGAAGGTGGTTTAATCAAAAGGAAGAGAGGACCTCAAAAGAGACAGCTGCTGTCGTCAGCTGGGCGCATAAATGAGCTTTGCCGCTGAATGTTTGTAGAAGCCAGTTGCTATCGAGGACCGGCGACGGCTTAACGATGATACAGGGCCAGTGGTTGTTTACGATAGAATCAGTAAGTAGGGCTAAGGATCTAGGTAGCATCGTGATTTCCGATTTCCGTTGGGCCAAGCAGTGCACAGCAGCCGCAAAAAATGCTCGCTGAGAACGCTTCAAACTGAGTTCAGCACTGTCTTGCAGAAAACCGGAGGTGTTCGTGCCCCTGTACAAGGCTTTATTCAGACCTCATCTCCAGTACTGCGTGCAGACATGGTCGCCCATCTGCAAAAGGGATGCGACCGGCTTAGAGGAAGTTCAGAGGCCCACAGCGAGAATAGCTGAAGGTCAAAGAGGGAAGTGGTATGATCAGAGACTTCATAACCTGGGGTTCTTTCCTACAGATAGAAGAAGACTCCAAGATGACCTCATCGAAACCTTCAAATAATGAAGGGTTTATCAGGCATAGGCTCGGAGAACCTGTCTCGGGAAGACCTCGCTTTGATAACAAGATGTTACTGTGAGAAACTAAGAAAATCTCGATCCATGATAGTAGCAAGGTCACACTTCTTCTGTAATCGGGTAGTAAACCTATGTAACCGACTGCCAGAACAGCTAATAGAACTACCTTCGATTCAAATCTTAAACTAGCCATAGACCAAAGATGGGACGAAGTAGTTTCTGGGTTGAGTAGTGATTTAGCTCTCCCGTTAGGGCACCTGTTGAACGCTCAAGTACCTTAACGTCTCTTGCCGAGCAGGTGAGTTCTCCTTTCCTATCTGTTTTAGCAGAAGAACTGACAAATTTATCAATACATTGGTGCGTGCCGGATCTGTGCACACAACCGAAAAAATTCTGGACGCTTGATTGGCCGTGACCATTTCCTGTCATGTGTAAACTGACCTTGACCTTGACGCCGCGCGGTTAAATTTTGTCGTGGGTAAATTTCTGTGGATTTCTAGGAATTATTGAAGCTCCTATAGAAAATTTCAGAGTAATTTGCGCTTTTATTGTTGTGTTAGCTAGTCAGTGGTGCTATATCAGTGTATCGTTGCTCATAATACTGTTTTACTCATTTTTCACTCCCATTTGAAAGCCTCAGCATACCATTAGACCATAATAGTTCCTAGATTGGCATTTCTAATTACTTTGGACTAGTCTGATGCTCATAAAAAACATCATCGACGTAAAAAATGACACGCCATGGTAGTACAGCGTTATGTGGGGCCAGCTTATGTGCTGAGTCCGTGGTTGAAGGTATACTCCACGACAGATGTCGCTGTTGGTATCATCAAGCTTGCTCTGGACTGAGCAAAAAAGATTTTCAACTGCATATTATACACAAATCTCTCAGATGGATCTGTCGGCATTGCACTGCGCTCGCAGATGAATGCTCACGAATCCTCCGGGATCGTCCGAACTGTTCTTCAACGGATAGACCAGAAGCGAGAAGAAACTCCCCCGTAAATGGACTTCAAAGTAACGACGCTGTGGCCAATAATGCAAGGAACAGTGTGGGAAAAGGTGGAAGTCGCAACAAAGAGGCCCGCGTAGCTAAAGCAACGAACAGGCCCAGCAGGAAGGTAGTTGACGATACGCTTACAGTAGAGCTGGCAACACTGAAGGAAAGAGTTCGGCAATTGGAGGCATAGATCAAGAGTGTCAAACTCCAGGGGCTAGATAACAGACGCCTGCTGCTGCACAACTGCCGCCAACCAGTCAGAAACCGTGAAATCAGGCAAGAGGGGGTAGTAGCTACGCAAGGGATATAATTAGAATGACCGGATTGCCCGCGACAGTCCCTGTCGTCAAGTTCCACCGCGTGGATAATTGGCGAGCTGCGCAACAAGGCCTGCGGAGGCCAATAATGATAATGTTCCCTAACATGTATTGGAGGAATCAACTGTTATCTAGAGCGGGTACGATCAAAATACAAACCGACGGCCGAATCAGCGTCACGTCAGATGGCCCGCCGCACCTAGAGTCGCGTATGATATCAAACGTCGGCTCCAATAAGAAGGTTACAATGGGGGGGGGCAAACGACTTGAGGTAAAAATATCAAAGGTTGAGAAAGTAACGGAACACCGACCCTTGAAGAAGCAGGCGATGGTTCCTCTAGGCAGGTTTGCTCCGAAGGTACCGCCAGGAGCATCGAAGCCGAAAGAAATAAAAAAAAAAAAACGCTCCGAATGCCCATAAACCCAGCAGTAACGGCGCGAAGGAAGCCGAATCACGCAGCATCTCTAGCGGAACTGTGGGTTAAGGAAACGGGCCACACAAGCAGGGGATCTGCGATCAACTTGTGAATAAAGACTCGGTTGGTACTCCAAAAAGCAGGAGCTGGGCAACCGTGGTAGGCAGTCCAAAACAGATCCGTAATATAGACCAGAAGCCAGTGTCAAGGCCAGAAGGCAGCAGGCCAGACTTTGGACTCACCTGCAAGGATGTTAAGTATTCGACCAAGGGTACCTCGTGGAACCTCGAGCATACCGTTGTAGATGCCATACCCGGATCGAAAAACCATTCACTCCCTCGGACCCTACGTCCGAGGGCACAATTGAAAAGCCAGTCGTAGTGGGACATGAAATGCAAGCGAGTGAATCACAGATTTGGTACACACATGCTTGCAGCGTCCAAGGAAAATGGGGAGAATTGGCCACCAGAGTAATAGGTTGTGCAGTAGCTGGCATCATCGAAACCTGGTGGAGCCCTAATAATGTAGCTGCACATATCGCGAGCTACATAACCTACAGTCAGAACAGGACGGATGGAAGATTAGGGGGCGGGGCTGCCATCCTAGTACATCAAAATCATGGAAGTTGGGAGGCTCCGTTTAAAATGGATTCTAACAACATCCAGGTAACGTCCTGTTTCGTAAATTATGACAAAAAATGGTGTGTATTGTATGTGTCTACCGAACCTCCTCGCCAGTGGATAGGAGAATGACAACCTATTAAGAGTACTGCAAACAGTGCTCGCTAGAACTAAGGAGTTCGTTATTCTGCGTGACTTTACCTTTTTAGCCATGAACTGGGAGGTTGGTAGCGTGCCCAGAAGACCCACGAATGAAGCATTCGTACAATGGGTGCAACTACACGGACTGGTTCAACATGTTACGATGCCTACGAGACACCGAGGGGGTCAATTACACTCAATACTAGATCTATTGATCACGAAGTGCCAAAAGTATATTAGTGAATTAATAATAAGAATAATAAGTGTATATTTCACGGAGCCCCGTGAGGCATGCATAGGCATGATCAAATGTACAACATAATCTTCCGTACAGGAGAAGCCCAAAAGGGAAAAAGATTGAAGGTCGCAGTGAACATAATTACAAATGGAGCACAGAGTGAACAAGGTATCAGATAAAAAAAAGTTGAGGATGGTGGAATGCTCTAAGAGAGCTAGTCGGTGGAAGTAGGACGAAAAACAAGAATTGTTATACCGGATGAATGGTTGGATGATTGGAAACACGACAAACAGTGAGTAAAATAACAAGAGGCGGCATGCAGATCGTTGGACTGAAACCGGCACAAGAGCGGATAGGTTGAAGCAGAACAGAGTGAAACTGTCATGGAATATACATGCACTTCACGTTGTGAAACAGATGAGTTCTGAAGGGTCTCATTCGATGGTCTCAGGGGCTACGATCAGCAGTGGATTGATTTGGGTTATTTACGTTATTTAGGCGTTGGTCGCTTTGATGTGGGACTGACTAGACGCTGGGCATCTAACCTTAAAACACCTTGTAGATGATGTAGGGGGTGCGTTCCTCTACCTGGTCCGGAATGCGGACGAATATAGTCAAAGCGGTGGATACAGCCTCGCCCAACAACCATTGCTCGTGCCAAATTGTCCATTGTGGGTTAGGACCCCAAGCCTTCGTCAGGCCCAAACCAACTGGATCTGGAATAGAAAGGCGTACATCGGCAGTCTGGGTTGCAGCCCAGCTGAGAAGGGATTAGGGAAAGAAATAGTAAGAAACAATCGACAAATTCTAATGAAGCAGGGAGCCTAGGTCATAACACTGGTGAAAGGATGTTTTCAAAATATGTTTAGTTCTACAGATCCAAATAGAGGTGGATACGCGTAATGGTAGAACATCAGTTGATAAAGTGGTCACAGCTACCTGGTTAGCATGTGCCACGGAGTTGAGCCAATCGAGTCGGATGAAAGGGCAAACAGATGAATGAGTTACACAAAGATGGGTCGCAATACTTATAAAAGTATGTACCAAATTAGGTTGTGTTCCACCGAACCAGCTTCGAAGCTGGTACCTCTGGGTACCTCTGGGTATAAGTGATCATATATTGATGAAGGCTTTACTTTCCATACACAACGTATTATCCCCAGTAGCCTCCATTAGGTGTTATGGCAAGCTACGGATAGAAGAAATGAAAAGGGTTGCGGCAACAATGACCTAGGTGCCCAACCATCCTGAGCATACCTTAGAGGAAAGATGGGATACAGTCAAAAACGTACTGCTGAGGCTAACAGCGGAGTTCGTACCGGTTAGGCCATTCAGAGAACAGCGGCAGCCTCCGTGGTGTCGGCCAAGAGTGAAGAGGGCAGTAGAAACCCGGAGGAAAAGATAGTCAGCGTACGTCACGTATCGCACTAGCCAGGCATATGACAGCTATGAACAGACCCGTAATAAAGCCCAAGCTGTTCAAAGACAAGAGAAGTTCCGTTTCGAGCGTTGGTTGGCCAGTTCAGCAAAGGCGAATCCAAAGGGATTCTATGCCTACGTACAATCTAAAAAGATAACGAGGGAAACTGTGGCTGCGCTAGAAGGTCTGGATGGCCAACTGGCACTGACAGATCGGGAAAAGGCCAGGACACTCCTGGAAGTGTACAAGGGGATATATCGCCTACCACGTGAGACCCAGGATGACCCGAACTGGCAGAGTTGGCACGTGCACTACAGATCCAGCAGATGTAATCAGTGGCGTACCCCAGCGATCTATACTGGGCCCATTACTCTGCCTCATCTTCATAAACGACCTACCGTCGGGGCTGCGG